TATGTTCTTTTTTTCTTTTTATTTCTTATATTTCCTTATAGTTAAAGAAGATTATATAAAAAAATAACCTTAAGAGTATTAAATCTAGTCTATTTAAATAGTTTTTATTTTTATTTATAAAAAAGAAATTAATAAAATCTTTTTCTTCTTTTAATTTTTTTAAGTTCTTATTTAACTATAAAGTCTTACTTATATTAATAGTACTTTTTTTTATTATAGTATATAATATATTTATATAAAAAGTAAACTAGATTATTAATATTTATATTATTAACTACTTTAGACTTTTTTACTATAAAGTAAGTTAAAAAGAGCTTTTTAAAAGGACTTTCTATTTTAATTAAAAGTCTTATAACCTTTTTATTATAATTATACTAATATTCTTACTCTTAATAGTACTTATTTATTAATAAGTTTTTAGTCTTATTTAAAAATTATACTCTAATAATACTAATTAGACTATTTCTTTAAAGTGATTCTCTTTTATAATAATCCTAATACTAAACTATTCTTTTAAAGCTTTATTATAAATCTTATTTTATTTATATTATATTAATTATAAAAGGGGATATTATTAATCTATTTAATAATAAAAAGCTTAAAGAAACTCTAAATAGTATAAATTAAAACTCTATTTAGATATTTAAAATTAAAGTACTTACCTTTAAGGGTTTTAATTTTTAAATTATACTTTAAAAAGCCTTATAATTAGTTCTTTTTAATATTATAATCATTATTATTATATTAGTAAAGACTTAATATAATCTTCTAAACCTACTTATAAATAGAGGGGTTATTAAAATAATCTTAAATTAGATTACTTATAGGATAGACTAATAAACTACTATCTTTTATATACTTATATTACTAATAATATTTTATATAATATTTTAAAGGTTTTATTCTATATATTAATCTATAATAATATAGTAGTAAAAATAATAATAAAAATAATAGGATTTATTTTATATAAGAAAATACACTTTTAGTAATAAAGGTTTATTATTATTCAGGGGCAAGGTTGGGTGGCCTAAATGTGGGTGTGGCCCATAAGTGGGTGGTCGACGTTAGCGTGTCTGAGGCGGGGAATAACGGGGTCGGCCTCTCGGCATTTATAATGCAGAGAGAGTTGTGGCCATTATTAGCTTCATGAATCGCAGGGTGGTCGAGGCTAATCAGAGCAGTTAAACCGGGGCGCTAGGTATTTCTACATTTTTCTCTCACGCGATAACCTGATCTCCCTCACACCTTATGTTCCACCAACGCACGCTCTCTGAACCGCTCATCGCCAACGCAAACGAGATTTTGCGCTACTCTCCTCATCCAAAAGCAGACCGGAAAAGATATATACCCACGTTTGGGTGTTTACTGCGCAACCAACTCACCATTCTGAGCGTTCCTGATTAGTTATGCACTAAAACTACTCGACACCAGAACAACAGCGTCTTGGTTGTGAGTTGTCGGGATATCGCCAGCAACAAAGCGCCGAAAATGCTCCCACCGATTCCAAGTCTCGACGACTATGGCCTCTCAACTGCGCATGGATTCCTGCCAAACGAGCTGCCGCTGGCGCGACTTCCCGACCCATACTACAACAAATGGGAGGCCATCGCTGCAAACCTGCCAGCGTTAATTCTCAGTCGCCGGCTTCGTGGTGTCATTGACCGGCTACACGTGCTCGATACCATCGGCCTGGAGCACGATGCGGAATGGCGACGTGCATACTCGATTCTTTGTTTCATGACACATGGCTATGTCTGGGCTGGCGACTCGCCCGCGGATCGCATTCCACCTCAAATTTCCATCCCGCTTCTTGCAATATCTCATCGACTTGACATTCTTCCTGTCGCAACATATGCCGCTGTCTGTTTGTGGAACTTCAAACCGCTATTCATGAATGAGGATATTGACAATCTGGAGAATTTGGCAAGCCTCAACACATTCACGGGCTCTATAGACGAATCCTGGTTTTACTTGGTATCGGTCGCTATTGAAGCCCGCGGCGCGCCTATGCTGGACCTAGGGCTCACTGCTATGGAGGCAGCCAGGCTTGATAACAGGGCCCTCGTCATCAGCTGCTTATGCGCGTTCGCTGAGCGATTAACAGACCTCACAAGTCTTTTACAGCGCATGCATGAGAACTGCGACCCGACCGTGTTTTACAATCGCATTCGTCCCTATCTCGCGGGTAGTAAGAACATGGGCGAAGCGGGTCTACCTCACGGTGTTATATACGAAGACGGCTCTGGCGCCGAAGAGCATCGACAATACTCTGGAGGCAGCAATGCACAGAGCAGTCTGATTCAATTTTTTGATATTCTGCTTGGTATCAAGCACCATCCTACTGGGCAGTCAGTGCCTACCAGCGAGGCCACGGCGAGACGGAACAACTTCATTCAAGATATGCGACGCTATATGCCTGCACGTCATGCAGAATTTCTCACTGACTGCGAGAATGTGGCCAACATTCGCTCATATGTTGAAAGTAATACGGATGACGAGAAGTTGTGCCTGTCATATGATGCATGCCTTGCTATGCTCAGTGCATTCCGTGACAAGCATATTGCTATTGTCACAAGATACATCATTAACCCGTCGCGTGAGGTTCGGGCGCGAAGCCGCAGTCCCGAAGCCGTACGAGGTCGGAACAACATCGCCATCGCATCCCGAAGAGGAGACGGCAAGCTGCAGAAGGGTACTGGTGGAACTGCTCTGATTCCTTTTCTGAAGCAGGCTAGAGACGAGACAGGGGCTCCAGCGATAGCAGAGTGGACAAGGCGGTTCATGAAGCGCCAAGTGAAACCCTCTGGCCAAAGTGATCTATTTGCAGCCAGGCAAGATGAAGTGACAGTGATGAGAACGGATGAGATTCCTATCCGTGGTCTTGCACAGACATGGACAATGGAGGATGAAGTGGGGGGTATTTGCCAGTTTTGAGACTGGAAATAGCTGGCAGATGTATGTGAAAGCCCTTACTCTACTCATTCAACACATTTAGAGAACTTATAGAATAATATGCCGAGCTGTTTACCTAGAAAGCAAGTTTGCTAAGGGAGACAGACGAGAATCAAGCAATTCCCGCAGTAGATATAGAAGAATATATAACGAAAAGAATGCAGTGACAGTACGTTGCTATCCCGGAAATTCAACATATGCAGAAGCAGATCATGGCAGTTCATAATCAAATAAAGGCAGTCTGAAACGACTGTCAAAGTGATTGTAGAGGCCAAGGCATCATAGGAACAACTAACCCAACAGTCACAAGTTATGTACGCATTCAGGGCTGCTCCTTAGCCTCTCTACGTAAGGTGCACATTGCATTCATGTTGGAAAGGCTTTTTGCATCAAGGCAAAGTTTTGGTATTTGCTGTTTGTCAGTGTTAACTAGAGGTGGAACCGGATTAGTCAGGGGAGCGAGATTGCTATTTTAGGACTAGCGCGCAACTTTGCTTCACGTCGCGCGCAGAGGCAAAAGCCTAGCCAGATCCTCGCCGTGATCTTTAATCACTACCTATTCTCATTAAACAGACAACCATCTAGCCTTTCTCCTGCGCGACGACCGTGTGAGTTCAGGCTTATACAGTCGTCTGAATAGCATCATCCAGCTGCTGCGCCAGATGCACGCTAGGCCGACAGCCGTTTGGTCCAAATTGACTGGTCAGCGTCCCTCGTCAAAAGCTCTTGGACGTCTCCAACCTCAGGAGCCCGAACATCGAGCGCAACTTATCGCACCCACCGTCTCGTTGCATTCTTTTCGATAGCCACCTCTAAAAGAGCCGCATATCTGATACGACAGTTTATCTCGCCCATTATGGCAGACTACGAGGACGAATACGACTATGAAAATTACGAGGACGAAGACTCAGGCATCACGCCTGAAGATTGCTGGACCGTCATCTCTTCTTTCTTCGAATCAAAAGGCCTCGTCTCTCAGCAGACGGCTTCGTTTGATGAATTCACCCAATCGACCATTCAAGACCTCGTCAGCGAGTACTCGAAAATCTCTCTCGACCAGCCCAACCCACCCTCCAGCGACGACCGAAAGATCAGCGTACGCCGATACGAGATCGAGTTTGGAAGCATCATGGTCTCGAGGCCTTCAATCAGCGAGACCGACGGAACCGTGACTTCGCTCCTCCCTTACGAGTGCCGTGATCGAAACCTCACCTACGCCGCGCCTGTGTACATCAAGATTACCAAAAAGGTCCAAGCTGCTGTGGAAACAGAGATCCCTTTGCACGAGCTTGATGACGCTCAACAGACAGAGTATGCCAAAACGGGCGAGCTACCCACGCGACTGGCTTGGGAATCGGAGGATGCGCCAGAGCCTGAAAACGCCAATAAGCCTGATGCCTGGAAGGACATGGTTTTTGTTGGAAAAATGCCAGTCATGGTCAAATCCAAAGTTTGTCATCTGAGCCGAGAGCACGATGAAAATTTATTCCTTGTCAATGAGTGCCCATACGACCAAGGCGGCTACTTTGTTATCAACGGAAGTGAAAAGGTCCTGATCGCGCAAGAGCGTTCAGCCGCCAATATTGTCCAAGTCTTCAAGAAAGCACAACCAAGCCCATACACCTACACCGCCGAGATCCGAAGCGCTCTGGAGAAGGGTTCGCGCCTGATCTCTAGCATGATGCTTAAGCTCTACGGAAAAGGAGAATCAGCTCGTGGCGGCTTTGGCCAAACGATCCATACCACACTGCCGTTTGTTAAATCAGACCTTCCTGTCGCCATTGTCTTCAGAGCTCTTGGTGTCGTCTCCGATGAGGATATTCTCAACCACATTTGTTACGACCGGAAAGACTCCCAGATGTTAGAAATGCTTCGACCTTGCATCGAAGAAGCTTTCTGCGTACAAGACCGTGAAGTCGCCCTTGACTTCATTGGTAAGCGTGGTAACCGGGACCAGGCAGGTCTTGGGCGCGACAAACGTATTCGTGTTGCCCGCGATATTCTCCAAAAAGAAACGTTGCCTCACATCTCCCAGGAAGCTGGGAGTGAGACCCGAAAAGCGTTCTTTATTGGCTATATGGTCCATAAACTGCTCCAGTGCGCTCTTGGACGTCGGGAGCCTGATGATAGAGATCATTTTGGTAAAAAGCGTCTTGACCTAGCAGGTCCACTCTTGGCTAAACTCTTTCGTGGTATCATGCGCCGAATGCACTCGGAGCTTGCCAACTACCTTCGACGTTGTGTTGAGGGTAACCGCCACTTCAATTTAGCTGTTGGTATCAAGCCCGGGACGCTCTCAAACGGCCTCAAGTACTCTCTTGCCACAGGAAACTGGGGTGACCAGAAGAAAGCCATGAGTTCGACTGCTGGCGTGTCTCAGGTGTTGAACCGGTATACCTTTGCTTCGACACTATCTCATCTTCGGCGTACCAATACTCCTATTGGCAGAGATGGCAAACTAGCGAAACCTCGTCAGCTTCACAATACCCATTGGGGTCTTGTCTGCCCCGCTGAGACACCCGAGGGACAGGCTTGTGGCTTGGTCAAAAATCTGTCCCTCATGTGCTACGTCAGTGTTGGTTCACCGGCCGAGCCGCTTATTGACTTTATGATCAACAGAGGTATGGAGGTCATTGAGGAATACGAACCACTGAGATACCCGCATGCCACCAAGATCTTTGTTAATGGCACTTGGGTCGGAGTTCACCAAGATCCCAAGCACCTGGTTGACCAGGTATTTGACACCCGCCGCAAGTCTTATCTGCAGTATGAAGTTTCTCTCATTAGGGAAATTCGTGACCAAGAGTTCAAGATCTTCTCCGATGCGGGCCGAGTCATGCGGCCCGTTTTTACAGTACAGCAGAAGAACGACCCAGAGACTGGCCTTGAAAAGGGCCAGCTTGGTCTCACCAAGGATTTAGTCAATAAACTTGCACAAGAGCAAGCAGATCCACCTGATGATCCGGAACTCAAAATGGGCTGGGAGGGCCTGATCAAAGCTGGCGCAATCGAGTATCTAGACGCCGAAGAAGAGGAGACAGCAATGATTTGCATGACGCCAGAAGATTTGGAGCTCTATAGGCTTCAAAAGGCAGGATTATCTGTCGACGACGACCAAGACGGTGGGGATTTAAATAAGCGCCTGAAGACGAAAACAAACCCGACAACCCACATGTATACTCACTGTGAAATTCACCCAAGTATGATCCTGGGTATTTGCGCAAGCATTATTCCTTTCCCAGATCACAACCAGGTAAATTCTTCTTCTGACAGGCAGTAGAAAATCCGCAACTAACAACGATCTAGTCCCCGCGTAATACCTACCAATCTGCCATGGGTAAACAAGCCATGGGCTTCTTCTTGACGAATTACTCTCGTCGCATGGATACCATGGCAAACATTCTGTACTACCCCCAGAAGCCTTTGGCGACGACGAGATCTATGGAGTTTTTAAAATTCCGAGAACTACCCGCAGGTCAGAACGCCATCGTCGCCATCGCGTGTTATTCTGGCTACAACCAGGAAGATTCAGTCATCATGAACCAAAGCAGCATCGATCGCGGTCTCTTCAGAAGCTTGTTCTTCCGTTCTTACTCTGATCAGGAGAAGAAGGTTGGTCTGAATTACACGGAAATCTTTGAAAAGCCGTTTCACCAAAGTACCCTACGCATGAAACACGGAACCTATGACAAGCTTGATGAAGACGGTATCGTCGCCCCTGGCGTTCGTGTCTCTGGAGAGGACATTATCATAGGTAAAACTGCGCCAATCGACCCAGAGACACAGGACCTGGGCACCCGCACAACAGCGCATCAGCGCCGTGATATCTCGACACCTCTGCGCAGTACCGAGAACGGCATTGTGGATCAAGTCATTGTGACTGTCAACGCCGACAATGTTAAATATGTCAAGGTTCGAGTTCGCACGACCAAAATCCCCCAGATCGGTGATAAATTTGCTTCACGGCACGGTCAAAAGGGTACTATTGGTGTCACATATCGACAGGAAGACATGCCCTTTACAAGAGAAGGCGTCACGCCGGATATTATCATCAATCCGCACGCTATTCCATCGCGAATGACAATTGCTCATTTGATCGAATGTCTTCTGAGTAAGGTTTCAACTTTGGAAGGCATGGAAGGGGATGCCACTCCCTTTACTGATGTCACCGTCGATTCTGTCTCAGACCTCCTGCGCAAGCACGGGTATCAGTCGCGCGGTTTCGAGATCATGTATAACGGCCACACCGGTAAAAAACTCCGTGCCCAGGTCTTTTTTGGACCTACGTATTATCAGCGTCTACGTCACATGGTGGACGACAAAATCCATGCACGAGCGCGAGGCCCCGTCCAGATCATGACAAGACAGCCGGTGGAAGGCCGTGCAAGAGATGGTGGGTTGCGCTTCGGTGAAATGGAACGTGATTGCATGATCGCGCATGGCGCGGCAGCTTTCTTAAAGGAGCGCCTGTTTGAAGTCTCCGATGCCTTCAGAGTGCACATTTGCGAGATCTGCGGCCTGATGACACCAATTGCGTAAGTGAAGATTTACTGTCTTGTGAAGCTAACGCTGACAATGCCAATAGAAACCTTTCGAAGCAATCTTTCGAGTGCAGACCTTGCAAAAACAAGACCAAGATTGCCCAGATCCACATCCCGTACGCTGCCAAGCTTTTGTTTCAAGAACTTCAATCCATGAACATTGCGGCTCGTATGTTTACGGATAGATCTGGTGCCTCGATTAGGTAAAGAACGGTTCAATATTGGCGTGGTTAATTTCATTTGTTTGTATTTTTTTACCGGCCCCTTTTTTGGTTTTAACAGGAACGCATGGTACAAATACTCCAAAACAAGATTGCTCAGGCTGGATGCCGCTTTTAGAAGGACAGGTTCAGCACAAAAGATGTATAGTAAAACGTAGCGATTGGGGCAAAGGGGGAGATTTGTGACCGCTTTTAAACCCCAGAAGCACTGTACCAAATATTCACAGAGTAAATAGATAGGGAATGAGTGTCTTTGACTCCGGTTCCGCAGTGCATCGTAAATTTACAAGTCGAAGATGTTGTACATAGATCGTGTGATGTTCGTCATGCGGCAGCGCTATGGCTTGTTCCCAGCGCCACCCTCTTGTACTGGTGTATCCAATGAGCTGTGAACATTTTGCTCACGCTTGTATTCTTCTTCCAATGCCTTTTGTGTATCAAAGTCGAGTTGACGTTCGCGCTTGATCCGCTGCTGTTCCATATCACGAACGACACCTTCGTGCATAGCCTTCCATGTCAAATCGTCAGCAAGTGCAAAGACATGAGTGCTCGAGATTTCCGCACCTGCTGCTCAAACGTCTGTTGGAAATGAACAAATACAATGGTGCTGGCAGCAAAGAGGGAGGTGCCCAAAAGGGTCAGCTTCGAAGCTCGGGACATGGCTGTTTACCAAGTGCGTTTTTGCTTTGAACTGGTATTATTTGTCGATTTCCAAGCTCCTGGATGAAATCAGTATGAGGGAGTCGGCAATTGCGTTCTCGGTGAAACTCGGTGCATTGGAGAAGTTTCGTTTCTCCATCGACGTAGTTAGTTAGGTAGTACATATTAAAGGTCCGGGAGGTGGCCAATCCGCCCCACCAAAGCTCAGGTGCACCCACTTACCACAGAGTACCCAACGTCACCCAGTCGAGGGATGGTTTCTTTGCAACCTCATCGCGGCATCCATCGAGCTTGTTCAGCCCTACTTCGAGCGTCAACTCATTTCTGAATCGCCCCTCGAATCACAAGAGAAATCTAGTTATTATCTCAAAATGGTTAGCAAGCAGCCACACCCCCCAAGCTCTCAATTGGCCGAGGCCTCTTGTGTCTTGCTCCTCGGCGACTAACTCGACACAGTCAGCCCAGAACTCGGCAGGTATTCAGACGCTTCTCGATGTACGCGACCGACTGCATAACGACAGACTTGGCCATCAGAAGAGTGGAATTTATTAACGCAACCATAGGCCGAGCGCGAGGCTTCGAAGATTGTGCAGAAGTGTAAGGGCATCAGTCTCGCCATCTTAGTTGTTTACGGTCCGCTAATCAAGGGACTTCCCTGTTATCTAGCGAGAGAATGTGCGTACTAGAGTATAATTTGATTCAACCACAGCCGTTACAGTTACGGGAAGATTTAACATCACAATATAGTCCGCACGAAGCGCGTCAAGGAAGCCCGTGACGAGGCCAAGAAAGAAATTACCGACTACAAGGCCAAGAAAGAGGATGAATACAAGAAGTTTGAGGCCGAGGTGCGTTGTCTACTGTTCACCGCGCACAGCACAGCAGTTTCTAACTTATTCCCAACCTCAAAGCATAGCAAGGGCAACAAAGAAGCCGAAGCCGAAGCGAACAAAGAGGCCGACAAACAGATTAAGCAGATTACTGAGGCTGGGAAGTCGAAGCAGGATGCCGTTGTTAAGAAGCTCCTATCCGCTGTCTTTGATGTGAACCCCATAGCCCCCACGTCTGTTTAGAATTAACGGTGTTGGCCCCCCCTCACAACTAAAGGCCATGGCGAGATAGCGATGAAAGGAGCATTTCTCTAGTGGGCTGAGGGCATTGTCATGTTAGGATGCGTGCTATCCTTGTTCTACATCAGTTTATTCCATCACTCATCAATACAATAGGGGAATTGTACAATAGGCTTCCTAGAATTCGGGTTTATCATAGACATTCGACCAGCGCACCTAACATTTCGCTCAGATCTTCATTGTCCACGTCGCTTGTGTCTATCCCTTCTCGCTGCTCTTGTATGAGTAGTCGCAATGAGTCGAGATTCTCGTCGCGACTCTCTAGCAGTTTCTTTATGATCTGTTTTGCGCCATTGTCCTCCGCTGCAAGCCACGCCAGGGTGACAGCAATTAATTGCAACGTAAAGAGTCCGTTGTCAAGTCTTGCAGCGAGTATCTCGTAGTCGTACTCCTCGGCATGTCCGCCCTGTGGTACCATGATCGTAGCCTGCCGCATGGCAGCAGACACTCTGGCCTGGTATTCGTGAAAGAACCTGACCAACCTTGCCGTCTTCTCGTAGTCTTTTTCTACGAACTTGGCGAGAGTGCGGATGCGCTCTGCAGACTCTGTGGGGAAGCGGCGCAGCATGTTCGCAAAGATGCTGACCAGGTGATCGATGAGGCGATGCTCGTGTGTCTTCATAAATGCAGTGAAAAGGATCTTCAGCCCTCCCGCATCGACAGTCTTGGTGCAGATCTCAACACCAAGTACACCAGATGCGGCGTGGTCGAGCAGACGTAATGCTGGAGGGTTGGCCTTCTTACCTTCTTTCAGTATGATGAGGCAGAGCTCGACACCTTCGGCTTCCAGAAATTTCTTCTTTCCAGCATCCGAGTCCGCAATGCATGCCAAAGCTTCGAATAAGTTTTCCATGTACTCTTCCTCCTCGCCGCCCTGTTCGGGGTCTCGTCTGCGATACTGCGCCACGAGTTGGAGCAGTCTATCTACCGCATCAGCCTCGGCAAGTGCCTTTTTGCCTTTTTCTGATGCTTGCGCTATGATGGCAAGGACTTCGGCTGCATATTGCGTGTTTTGTGCGACGGTTGCTTCTTTGCGCTGGATGCGCTGGATGAGCCAGTGTATTAGACGTTTCTCGTTGCATATTCGAGAAGCTACTGGGCTCCTGGAGCAGAAGTTCTCTAGTATTCCAAGTGCATAGTAAACACCGTTTCGATCGGATTCGTCGTCTTCATTGAGACGTGAAAAGTTCGATACGAGAAGGTCAAGCAAATCAGCGTCCAATAGGGCGTCTACCAATTCGCTCCATTGCTCGTCTTCTGCAGTCACATCTTCATCTGTGAGCTCGCCGATGATTTCGATGGCATCGATGGCAATATCGGTGTTCTCGTGCGCCAGCAAGCCGACAAGACTGGCAGGGCAACCCAGTTTCACGAAGTCGTGGTAGAGTTCGGGGTGTTCAGCCAAAACCGAGAGGCCCTTGATGTCGGCATCTAGGTCTGCTTCGCTTCCAATGAACTTGTTGGGCTCGCTCTCAAATTTTGATCTCATTTCCGCATTTTTTGTGATATGCTTCTCGAAGCTAAGGGCAGTCTTGCGTAGCCACCCCGTGTCGATGTTATCCGGCGCAGTGCCAACGTCTGCATCCTCGACATAGTCTAGAATCTGCGACTCTTGCTTGCTTATACCGCCCCCGAAGAAGCGACCTCCCTCGTCTTCGCCGCCTTCGTCATCGGGTGGCAACTCTGGCCCGAAGTCTTGCTCGTCACCGTTTTCAGCCTCGTCATCGTCTACTCGTGTGTGGCGATTGGAATTGCCATCGGTCGACAGCCGGCTCGATTTGTATATCTCGTCTGTTAGCTTGTCAGCTCAGGTAACTTCTATGGCCGATCGTAGGGGTTGTTGAGTGCATACTTGGATCACGCACAGCATCTAGCTTTCGTTTGTTCTGGGTCCCAGCGCTCTGAGGTCCTGCCCTCTAACGAGAAAGTTAGCAGCTGTCATTATGTTTCATGGTGTCTTGCTTGTTCTCTACCTTGAAAATATCGTCCACGCTAGCCATTGTACTTGTGGTTCATCGCGTATGCCTCGAGACGCTCTGCTCGCTATGTCGGTGTCGTTGGTGAAGGAGTAGTCAGCCATGCATGCTGCGACAGGCTTGTCATGTTGCTATGTGGGGCAGCGACAGCTATGTACAGTGGGTTGACAAAAGTTCTGCGCGTTACCCCTTTTTACACTAAAACGCCATATTTTTAATACATTAGAACTCTCTTACTTTAATACTAATAATTCTATAATAAATTTAATAAAAGAAAGTATTATAAAGATATAGTAATCTAGTACTAATTTAAGATTATAGACTTATAAGTAAACTATGGTAATCTACGTATTATAGTAGAGGAGAGAATAAATATATAAGGAAAGGGATTTTTAATAAATAGTTAGATTAAATCTCTACTAATTAATCTAAATAATAGTTCTACTATGAAGAGATATCTCTTAATATAATTTATACTATAATAACTACTTATTAGTACTCTATATTTAAACTAACTCTCTTCTTAAGAAATGGACTAACTGTGGAGTAGGGATTAAGCTACTGTTATATGTACCTTATAACTAGAAATTAGGTGTACCGAAAGATTAATTGTTCAGTCACTTTAGCTAATAGTTTTAGCAACGTATGGACTTGCTTCGCGATACTAATGTTTCGTAAGGAAAAGTCTGCTAGGGGAGATAACATTGGCGCCGTCACGATGGCGCGCGGATTTGCCATCTCCTAAAGACTTATCCCCTATTCGCGCCACAGGCACATCAATACTTACCTATGTGACCTGTTCAAGCAGGTGCTTACGCATAAAAGGACAATCACTCCGTGTGGTCAAGTATTATTTCGATCTGAGGCCAACAATGGTTGACTTGATGTCTGCTCTGGATGGAAGTAGCTTGGTTTACCAGCCTGGAGATGCCACAGTATTAGTACGAGCCCAGCCACATCATCACTGAATACGGAAGCTGGGAGGATATTGTATTGCCGAATATGAAAATGGCCAGGCTCCCAATGAAAGTCTCAGGTAAGGGAGAATCGGTGCAGGTCGCTCGGCATCCAAAGAAAACGTTACAGTATGAAGCTTGCTTCCGGATAAGGTGGTCCCGAGGCGAATGCAATCAATGCCTGCACCAAATCCAGTCCGCTCAGTTATATGCTAGTTTTACAAATTAGCCCCTTTGCAACAAGTCGATCGAGGCGCGGGGGCCTCCAGCAACCCCACCAACCATCCCATACAAGCAAGGTAGTCTGCGACCCCTTATTATCCTCAACACACACCAGTAGAAAATCAGAACGACTTCATCGAATAACAACGGGATAACGGACACCCGCCCTTCCTTCCTCCATAGCCGCAACTGCAAAGCAATTAGACCCCCCCCCCCCCGGTCCGGAGTAGCTAGCTAGGTAGCGGATCTACTTAGTAGTTGAGGCAGCTACCCCGTGTACCTGCGACGAGGGCCTTGGCGATTAGGACAACTGGCAGTCAGCACCAAAGCTCCCGCGGCAGACCACAGGTATCTGATCCGAAGGATGCCACAACACCAACAACCACAAGACTACTACAACAGGTCACCCAACGCCCTACCGACAGCTCCCACTGAGCCCACAGACCGAAACGAAGACGCCGCAACTGCCGCTGTAGCCGCCCTGAGACCCGCTGGCACCATCCCAGTCACCAAACAGGTAGCAACTCTGCCTCCACCATCCTCCCCTCACAAAACGAAGTACCTTTCACCTGCCTCCCGTCCGCCCAGGATATCGTCGTTGTTGCCTCCGCCGCGCGCTCTAACCAAGCTGCACGTCGAAGACAACAAGTACACAAACAGGGCCGGCTCCGCCGCCGTCGCCGACCACCACCCTCACCAACATCAACTTACCAGCGCCGCGATAAAAGAAGACGGAGCCCATATTTCAACAGATCGCGACGACCGCCAGAGCGCTCACGGTGCGAGACATTCAAAAACATATCAGTGGCCCGGTCACAGTCCATACGACCTACTCGAAACCCCTGAATCGCAGGGTCGCTCAACGCCATTGCAACACCGTACCTCCAGCACCCCCCACCCACGAGGAACAGCGGCGCGCCTCCACGCCCGCATCACAGACCAACAATTGCAGTCTGCCCCCGAAGCCCCGCCACCGCTCGAATCTCTCTCACCACTGGATCGGGGCGTTACCAAGTCGGTATCGCCAATCGCGGGTAGTCCTCACAGCGAGCCTTCATCACCCGAAGGGTCAAGGCACCATATGCCCCAGGAATTGATATACAATGGCCAAACGGCGCGGGGCCATACCCGCCGCCGCAGCTCAAAGGGAACAAGCGATGTTGACAAAGGAAAGGCGGCCAAGCCGCCATCCCAAAAAGCGATGCTGTCGCGGGCCCTACAAAAGGCAAACACGGCCGTCCAGCTCGACAATGCGCATAACCTCGAGGGTGCTCGCATAGCATATTCGGAAGCTTGTGAACTTCTGCAGCAGGTGTTGCGACGAACTTCCGGCGATGAAGATAAGCGGAAACTCGAGGCAATCGTGAGTAAAACATCGGCTCCACCGTGGCCAAGGCGTGCGAGCTAACAATAGAACAGCGCCAAACGTATGCCAGTCGAATAGAAGAACTAGATCAGATAGGGCCGATGCAGGAGCAGGATATGGCATCGAAGGCGCTGCCTGCTAGGCCCGGTAGCGACGAATACAGCCCGGAGCTCCCCCACAATCGATACAGCACCCCCAACCTCGCATCCACCGTCATGAACCCGGACGCAAGCAGAGGTGCAGAGAGCTCAAACACAACTCGAAGTCATCCTCGACGGTCAGTCTCACCAGCGACGCTTTCTCGGCAGCAGGGCAACGACCAACCGCCCCCCAACATCAGGGCTACAGAATGGCATCGAGCAGCCCCAAGCGGCCAGCAAGGCATGCTGCAATCGTCGTTTTCGAAAAGTAGCTCTCGATCCAATCACACTCCCACTGGCTCACAGGAACGAGCTCTTGACATGCCACTGCCACTGAACCGCGCAGCATCGCCGTTGAAAAGCCCACCAGCACACCATGCCAAGTATGAACAGAACCATAGCCAGTCTGGGCGAACCGCCTCGAGAGATAATATTGGCCATGCTCGTGACGGCAGTCAAAACTCATGGCTCGATGGAGTTGGGGAATCTGGCGGCTCAACAACATCATCTATTCACTCAAGGACCTCGTCACAAGGGGTACGAAGAAAGCATATACGAGGTTTAAGCGGCAATACTGAATCCGAGTTCGATAATGCTCTTGACGCTGCAATCGAAGCTGCCTATGACGATGGGTATGAGCCTATGGAGGGCGTCGATATAGGAGGGAGAGAAGAAGGTGAGGAAGCCGTGGCAAGGGTTCTGCGGAAAGTCGAGATTGCTCGCGAGCGAGTTCGTCAGACGGAGCAGGAAACACTTTCCCTCTCCAACGGCACGAACATGGCTGAGTTGCTTTCACCCAGACATTACAAGCCCCCCAATACTCAACATGGCTTCTATGATGACTGCTCATCGGACGATGAAGAGCGCATGCTGGAGGAAATGGCTCGCGACTATGACATTGGCGACTTTACTATGAACGAAGCAGTGCCTATTATAGTAACCCGTGATAAGAAATGGCTACCCACCCAGCAGGGGGAAATACCAAGCGAAGCAAGATCACAAGTCGAGCCTCTGCGGCCCCTGGTAGAGAAGAAGTCGATCTCCAACATCATCAAAGGCCTCGGGCCGAGCTTGCCGCCCCCAAACGCTTCACTACCCGAACTTCCACCCCCACGTGGAACGTCTCCCATCCAGAGTGTCAGGAACCGTCGCCTCTCTGGTCAGAATCCTAAGCAGCTAAAGATTGACACCACAAAGCCGACCCCAAGCCCTCTGGTCATTCAATCACACCCAGATCAGCCGAGTGCTGTTCGAGATCAAGAGAATGAACGACGGTCTACCGCCACGGGGCGCATTCGTACCGCTTCACATACCCGTTCGACTCCATCCATAGATGTCACTTCTGACCCGTCGACTCTTGTACCACTGGGGAGTCATCAAATACCCGCGGACCCGGGAGAAGCTGCATTAGCTAAACCGACTTCGCCAACCGCCACTAGCAATAAGTTGCGGAAGAACTTCTCATCGTCAAGCCTACGGAGCATCAAGAGTAGGAACATGTCATTGTCAAACCTCGAAGATCCATCGGACATGTCTCCAGGCACCCCGTCAAGTAACCAGTTTGGCGGTTCGAGAACCCCAGCAGTGCCCACCATTCCAACGCCTATGAGCTCTGAGTTTCGAGATAACCTCGACTCCTCTTCCACAGGGGCCCGTCTTTTCGACGATCACTTTCACCAGCCTACAAGCCCAGGGTCGGCGCACAATGCAACCGTGGATGCCCCAGTGCCTATGGAACCCTGCCCTCACGACTTTATGCTCCGGCCCTTCTGGCTTATGAGATGCATCTTTCAGACACTAGTGCACCCGCGAGGTGGCTATGTTAGTACAAAGCTGTTTGTCCCCCGTGACGTTTGGAAAGTGAAGGGCGTAAAGCTCAAAAACGTCGACGATAAAATTGCGAATTGTGACCTCCTTACGGCCGCCTTGCTCAAACTGGCTCGAGTGGATACGTGCGACGCGGATGCTGTTCTGGAAGAAATGCAATCGCTGGAAGGCATCCTCGAGCAGGTACAGGCGTCACTGACGCGGAAACTTGGAAATGATGTCGGAGTCCAAGGTTCAGGATCGCTCTTTAAAGAGGCAGGCGGTGATGGGGATAGTATGCCTGGCGCCACACGCTCAAGTAATACCTCAGGCAAGCCATCTTTTTCCTGGCGACGCTTAAGATCCAAGAGCTCGGGCATTGCGCTCAGTGGCGCGTACAACAACAACAACAACAACAACAACAACAACAACAACAACAGGACTGCCGTGGGAGACGCAAATAAAGGAGACACAACCCTGCACAGTCTACCAATGACGGCGCAACCAACAAGTCGCCCACCGAGACGTGACCTCACTCAAGCCCACTTTGTTGGGCCCAATGCAAACTATATGAGTTCGCTAGCACGGTTGTTTGATGCTGCCCAAGCTGTCGGTGAGTGCAAGGTGTTTTCTATTTGAATGAGTTACATTTAGATTAACGTTCTACAGACCAGATTGCTCGACAGGTGGATGATCCCGGCCTGCGCCATGCTGACAAGACGCAGGTTGGCTTAGAGCTCTGCACACGTCATGCTGCCGAATTCTTCGGCTTCTACATCTGTCGATTTGCTCTGGCTGACCTTGGATTACTGCTCGAGAAGTTTATCAAGCGGGGAAGCGAATGGGTCCTAGCATAGGTAGTACATGTAATTGCATCGTATATTTGACATTGTTTCTGTGAAGGACCAGGCATTAAGGCAGATATGTGTATTACAAGGTAATATGCTGTACCAACATGCAAATTAAGCGCATGAACAATTCAATATGCAGAGCAGCCTCTTATGTTCGGCAGAGGAAAGGTTGCTCACGGTTGCGCTATGTAAAAGCAGCAAGTAAAATTGTCTGGCTGGCTACCAGCGTGCTGTCTTGTCTAAGGGCGCCGCTACATATTCAGAAAAAAGTTGGACCTAGCAAGCACCTCAACGACCAATAACGCGCACGCACGAGGAGCTTTGGAACAGCGCCGCAGAGCTTCCGGTCGATGCCAGAGACAAAATTCCTATATGAACCAAGTCGGGGGGATAGCGCGAGCATGGACTCGACAATGCTTGACTCTGTACCCGATTGCTACTCGCAGACTGGACCTCACTCTCTCCTGCGTAACATGGAGACGGCTCTTTGCCTCGCAGACTAAATCAACGCCAGCCCAGCTCGAGGCACGCATAGCGGCCATTCCGATCGAGCGATATAGAAACTTCTGTATAGTGGCGCATATCGACCACGGGAAAAGCACACTTAGCGACCGGCTGCTCGAGCACACGGGCACAATTTCGGCCAGCGACGCGAACAAGCAAATTCTGGTGCGCTCCCACGTCTGGATCACAGGCAAAGAGGCTGGACTATAGGCTAATGGCAGAGAGCTGACCAACTGCAGGACAAGCTCGACGTCGAGCGCGAGCGTGGAATCACAGTCAAGGCGCAGACATGTACAATGCTTTACAACCACAAAGGCGACGACTATCTCTTGCACCTGGTCGATACACCTGGTCATGTTGACTTTCGGGCCGAGGTTACGCGCTCTTACGCCAGTTGCGGCGGCGCCATATTACTGGTAGACGCCAGTCAAGGTATACAGGCGCAGACAGTCTCGAATTTCCATCTGGCCTTTGCGCAGGACCTTGCGTTGCTACCGGTGGTCAACAAGATCGATATGCCATCGGCTGATGTTCCCTCCGTCCTGAAACATATCGAAGAAAGCTTCGAGTTGAACCCAAAAGAAGCCGTCCTCGTCAGCGCCAAAACGGGCAAAGGTATTGACGCGGTGCTCCCGGCGGTCATTGAAAAGGTGCCTCATCCGGTAGGCAATCGCAACAAACCGCTAAAGATGCTTCTGGTGGATTCTTGGTACGACAATTTTCGCGGTGTTGTTCTGCTTGTGAGGATCTTCGACGGCACGATCCGGGCAGGTGACACTGTGGTATCGCTCGGCACCGGCATGAAGTATACTGTCGGCCAAGTCGGCGTCCAGTATCCTGACGCCACACCACAAAAAGTATTGAGTGCAGGGCAAGTTGGATACGTTTACTTTAACCCCGGCATGAAGCAAATTAAAGATGCCAAGCTCGGGGACACCTTCACAGCGATTGGCAGCGAAGAACTCGTTAAGCCATGCCCTGGCTTTGAGGAACCCAAGCCCATGGTCTTTGTCGCCGCATTCCCTACCGATCAGGGTGACTACAGCCGACTCGCAGACAGCATTAACCAATTAGTGCTCAACGACCGCAGCGTTACACTTCAAAAGGACAACTCAGAAGCACTGGGAGCAGGCTGGCGCCTTGGGTTCCTAGGCAGCTTGCATTGTTCTGTTTTTCAAGATCGTCTTAAGCAGGAGCATGGCCGGAGCATCATTATCACAGAGCCTACCGTGCCGACCAAAATCATATGGAGCAATGGCAGGGAGGAGGTTGTGCAAAACCCTGCCCTCTTTCCTGATACTTCTCATCCGCTTGTGAAGAGCTCACAGCTGCTGGAACCGTACGTGTACTACGAAGTTGATCGTGCATACTCAACTAACTAGCAACCCCCAACAGGTTTGTCAAAGCAACTATTACAGTACCTGAAGAGTATCTTGGACGAGTAATTGAGCTATGTGAAGCAAACAGAGGGCAGCAGAAGAGCATCGAGTTTTTCAATAAGGATCAGGTTATCCTTGTATATGATATACCTGCCGCCCAATTGGTTGAAGACCTCTTTGGAAAGTTGAAAGGGTCGAGGTAAGCCGGGCGTGCCTCACTTGCAGAAGCAGAGATACATACTAACATCACTAAATAAACAGTAAAGGATATGCTACTCTTGATTACGAGGAAGCTGGCTGGCGAGAAAGCAAACTATCTAAGGTACAGCTACTCGTAAACAAACAGCCAGTCGATGCCATCTGCAAAATTGTCCACGCATCCCAAGTCGAACGCGTCGGTAGGCAGTGGGTAACCAAGTTCAAGGAGCATGTTGACAGGCAAATGTTTGGTGAGCAGTTTCTCTTAAACTACCAGTGTTAACAGCTCACGATGTTGACTAACTTGCACAGAGGTGGTCATTCAGGCAATATCAGGCAATAAAATCATTGCTCGTGAGACTATTAAACCATTTCGCAAGGACGTGCTTGCGAAGCTGCATGCAAGTGATATCACGAGACGGCGCAAGCTACTTGAGAAGCAAAAGGATGGTCGAAAGCGCCTTCGCGCTGTAGGAAATGTCGTGATTGATCAGTCAGCTTTTCATAATTTTTTAGCTAAATAAACAAATTCTGGATAATAATACATTACAATTTTATATTAATAAATAGACTACTAGGTGAAGAATTGGTATTGTTATTATTTGTGGCAATCCAAGGTGGTGTTAACTCACCTGCATGTAATGCCTCTCACTTTAATAATTGATCGCTGTATTAATATTTTTCTGGGAAGGGGAGGTTCTTTCTTTAAGAATTTGTATTTGTGTCAGTGCATTATACAAATCTCAGTGCATTGCCACTGCGCAGTCGCTTTTTTTTTTTTACAATCGTCACAATGCTAGCTTTTGTCTGCTTCAAAAGAAAAAGGTGCGGGTAGAGCGAGCGCTGCCGCTCTTTGTAAAGTAAATGTTTATTGAATACATTCTAGCGTTGCTCACGTTTCTTACTTTGCCAAAGTATCAGCACCTTTTTTACCTTGCATGCGTCCAAGGGTTTTTGTTTCCTCGGTTGGTGCGTGCTTGTACGTATGAATGTATGTGTATACGTATGTATGCAACGCTTTATTCTTCAGCCTTCGTCGCCCTAGTAAAACCTAACGTTAAAAACAATAAACAATGCGGCCGAGGAAAATAGTCAAACTCGAGCAATAAACAGTAACACTATCTATTTATCCTAGAGTCGAGTAGCTATTTTTTGAGCTTCACGCCGCTTAAGGATTAAGGTGCTTCGTGATAGGGTAAATGAGCTACCGCGGCGTATAGAAACTTTAATAGCCCCAGCCATCGAATTCTCTCTCTTTTCTTGAGTTGACTAGTCTCTGCAGAATGCGGAACACACAATTATTCTTTCTTGCATGATACACTGGGCCATCCCCTCAGTACCTACATGTGCTCGCTTCTACTCTGCGATGTGTTGGATTTGCGCTTCATGGTTTGCAGCGCTCGAACCCTTCGGAGTATCAGCTCGCTTACTTGGCATTCGTCTAACGCTGTCAAGTACCTGCTGCAGTCCCGCAATGGTGGGTACACGAAAAGGTACTTCACCTGTACTATGTAGCATATCAACATGTGAAGCTGTGAGTGGGGATGTTCTCTCTGGAGATTTATAAACAATTGTGTTCAATTGTGCTTCTTTTCTGTCGCTACTTCCTGTAGCATCTCAAACTATCCAAAGATGCCGCAAACCAGTCCGTTCCGAACGATCCGCTTTCCATACCCTGAGCCTTTCGACGGCTGGGGCTTTTGGGGAAGGCAGACATCGACACTCAACTGGTGCGAAGAGGTAATCCTGCTGAATCTCGGTGCTGGTATGAGGATCTTTCCCCTGACTCGGGTTAGGACTATATCATGACATATTACTGCGCTGAACTCTGTAATGTTCGTGTTCGTGAGAGTATGTGACTAGAACATTACTGATACGACAGAGACTTTGACAAACCTGGCTTTCTTATACCTGGGATACCGAGGCATCCGAAGCTGCCTACGCCAATCTCATGACGCTATTTTCTTGATCGCATATGGTGGGTATATGCTCGTTGGTTTGGGGTCTATTGCGTTTCATGCATCCCTCAAATGTAAGGGCCAGCTTTGCTGCCATGATTCTGCTTGGTTGCTGATTTATTGATTGTTGTACAGACCCGATGCAACTCTGGGATGAGCTTTCCATGATTTATACTACTTGCCTCATGATGTTCGCCAGCTTTTCCTACTCCCGCTCCATGGCATTCTCCTATATGCTTGGCCTTGGACTCCTTGGTCTTTCTGCATTCATCTCCGTGAGTACCCATCCGCTTCCGCATTCGCCTTCGAGTCGCTGCTAACAGCCGGTGCAGGTGTATTATCACGTCACCAAGGACCCGGAATTTCACCAGGCAGTATACGGTATACTCACCGCTATCGTCGTATTTCATGGCATGTGGGTGATGGAACGTCGTTTGCGCCCAGCGCTCCGGGCCCGTCATGGCGATGAGGGAAGCAAACTCCTCGGGACCTTGTGGGCAATGGTTACTACCGGTTAGTCCGGGCACAATACCTGTATGTTTTTGTTGGTGCCCTTTGCTTATGTGACGTCTAGGCCTCTCCGTGTTTTTGAGCGGGTTCCTCGTCTGGAACTTGGACAACATCTACTGTACCCAGATTCGTGCATTGCGCCGCGAGGTAGGCTTACCATGGGCTGTACTTTTGGAGGGCCATGCCTGGTGGCACCTAATGACCGGTTTTGGTATGACTGCTTGGCTTGTTACTGCTCTTTTTCGCCCGTTAACTTGTGTCATAGGCGGTATTTACAACCTCGATACCTTTTTGCCGGATCGGACAAGCTAACGTTGCCAGCGTATTACTACATAGTTTGGGGTGTGTGGCTCCGGCGCTGCTTGACTGCGCAGGATACGGAGTATGAACTTCACTGGCCGACAACATTTACTTCCATTCCGGAAGTCCGACGCGTAGATAATTCTTGCGTGGACAAAAAGCTGCGGTAATCGCCGTTAATCTTACATGTATGTGTTCCATCAAAAGCCAACCCCTGGAGTCCCGGCCTCAACAGTTACTGGTGCCAACCTGGGCCGTGTGGATGAAAGTCACATACAAAAATGCAGATTGAGTGACAGAGAGCCAATACAGACCAATAGAGCATTGTTGTCCGTCGAAGTGTGGTGAAGTCACGGGTGTATAGGGTAGGGGCGCCAGCGGCCCGTCTGGGTGGATGGGCGGGGGGAAACCCACATCCAAGTCAAAATGCGAAGAGGATGGTCACGAGTAACTACACCTCCATTACATGTTTCCTCGAGCCCCCCTACTCACCAAACAAAGATGTCGATCTCAAACGAGGCCCTGCAAAAGGTAGGACATCTAGTCACAGCTACGAGCGGTACTGACGCAGGAAAAATAGTTGGCCCGCGAGATCGAGGCACAGGCTGCCTCTGCACAGCAACAGATCGGCATCGCACGCACCCAGATAGCTGGCAAGCAGAGGGAGCAACGCCTGGTAAAGCTCACACTGAGTGAGCTTAGCAGCCTGCCTAAAGACACAGTCATATTTGAAGGTGTAGGCAAGATGTGAGCATACCAACTCGCCCACGTCGCGTCACAACTCTCGCTAACGAACCAACCATAGGTTCGCCGCACTGCCCGTTACGGAAATAACACAAAAGCTAGAAAACCAGACGAAAGACCTGGACAGCGAGGTGGAAAAACTCGGAAAAAGACTAGTTTACTTGGAGACGACACACAAGAATAGCCGAGAGCATATCGAACAGATGTTGCGAAAGACCTGACCGAAGAGATCGAACGCCGAAACTCCCAACGCCAACTATGATAAAAAACCTGCACAGAGATAGGCGAACGACAGAGTACTCCAAATAAAACACACTAGAGGCGGCTCCGTCCGATCACCCGCACACTGACTGCTATGCTCCGCAAAATGCAGAGCTCATCGGCGAGCATCCATAAAACGCAACGCAACCATTCCCAATGGCCACAACGGAGCTGCCCGCCAGGCAGAATACATATCTGCAATATACGTTTTGCCTTTTGCGCATGACACGTCAATGTTCTGATGCCGCGAACTTGTCAAAATATGTACTGACTGCCGACATTGTAAAATGGGGGGAGGGATGGTCTACCGATAACCTGACCGTCAATGTACAGTAGGTGGAGGTTACAGCTGCAGCCGTAGCCATAGCGGCCGCCTCTAACGACCGTTTTCTGTGGCAAGAGATGACAGATTGCTCCGAAGCGCCGAGAAGACCCGCCCCCCTTCATCGTTCATTTCAGCCTCAAGATGGTCCCGACGTGTCGAACGACGAAACTGGTTGGCGTGGATTACGGTGGCGTGGGTTACCAGCCCCCGCTTCAGCCGCTGGATGGTCAGCCAACCCTACCTCTGCGACTCAAGTGCTTTCTTCTAAAAACTCCTCCTTACACATCCCTTCAGCCTTGCTGGCCCGAATACTGTGACCCCGACCGATACAATCGACACGCTGCAGCTTGCGCATACTATCACAGTGGAACTCATCCACCATGAGCCACTACTCGTACGACGAGGATGACCTCGATGTCCACATCCGCCGGCGCCACTCGCCGGAGCCTGTGCGATATGTCAGCACTGCGCCGCGACAATACTACCCGCCGTCGTACCTTGTACCCGATCAAGGTATGCGTGTTGTTGCGCGTAGCCGCTCTCGCGAGCGAAACAGCCCGCCCCAACCCGCGGGCCCTGTCATTATTCAGAACAAAATCTACAATGACATGTCTTCTGACGATGAGTACGAGCCATCCCGTCGACGGCGGCCTCGTCGCCGCAGCTCATACTCGCGCTCGCGCTCGCGCTCAAGAAACCGTTACATGACCAAGGAAGACTGGCAACTCGAACTGGACCGCCGGGAAATAGAGAGAGTTCGTATTGAGCAAGCCAAGGAGAAAGAACATCGCCGAGCCAGCAAGGAACGCCAGGGCGACGAGGACCTGCGCCGAGCAAAGGAAGAGCTAGACATGATCAAGCGCCGAGAGGCACAGGCCGAAGAAGAGAAACGCATCAAGCGTGAGATTGAACTCCAGCGCCTGCGCGATGAGGAGCGCGCTGCCGCAGAGAAGCAGATGCGAGACAAGGAGGCCAAGGCTGCCGTGGATAAGTACAAGAAGGAAGAGGCGGAGCGAAGAGAAAAACAAGAAATGGAAAAAAAAGCTGCCGAAAAGGAGTACCAGAGGCGTCTGCAGGAGCAGCTCCTCGCATCCGGACTAGACGAAGAGGCCATCAACGCTATCATCAAAAAGCAGAAAATCCCAGAATCCAAGAATGAGCGCGCGACGTACACCCGGATGCCGCGCAAGCATCTGTCAATTGAGACTCTGCGAACCTTCAAGGTCGAATACGACCTCGACACTGCTGTAAGTGCTCCAAAATGTTCAAACTGGAAGACTGCCCCGAGTAGATACGAACTGACATGGCAAACAGGATCCTGCTGGGTTTGTCATCATTAAGCGACCGGTCCCGGAGTGGGAGCAAGACCACTTCTGGAAACATACCAAGTATATCCGCGAGAAGCGCCTGATTATCGAAGATAAGCGACACCACCACCGCCACAAGAGCGATATAGAGCTTGTCGTTCGCAAGAAGGAGCGTAAGAGGAGCAAGTCGCCTTCACCACTTATGATGTGGGTTGCAGGAGGTCGACCATGATACACGAGTACCAATATTGTTTGTCACATGAAAGCCGAATTTCACAAAAACACACGATTATGAAATGATTTCTGAGGCGAGATGTCTAGTCTATTGTTGTTTTCGCAAGTATAGCTGTTTTACACATTACAATGACCCATATCTTCGAATCAGTTCCTCATACAACGTCCATGCCAAAGCGGAGCTGAGGGCTTTGCGTCCCATTCGCAAACCCAGACCGTTCCATAGAGATCTGAAGCCGTCCTCCGTGACCATCCTATACCAAGCCTGCCACATATTTCGATATTTTTGTGGTTGAAGCTGTATGCGAGTCTTTACGGCGTCGAATGGATTTGACACTGCGGAGCATGCTGCTCCGGCCAGAATGGCAGAGCCGAAGTTGATGGAGCTGGCCAACGGAGTGCCCATAACAGCCTTGGTATCGGAGCCTGAGTTAGTCTCAGCAAGAGTGCCGATGTGCGATTTCAACATCTCATAAACGAGCACATATAAACCGGCGTATGGCGCATCGCGAATTGCCGTAGCACCAAATCCAGAAAAGAAGCCGCGCAAGCCCTCTCGCCGTTTGATGTCTCGAATCGCACTAAAGAGCGAGGGATACGAGTACAAGTTGGACTCAAACCGCACTTTAATGACTGTTAAAGGCATAAGAACGAAGCCGGCCAAGGTTCGCGCAAGAGCCCCCGAAATTAGATTCGTCGTATTCGACAGCTTGGGCAGTGCCGTGGAACTGGTCATACTGCCCTGGCCAGCCCTAGGGGCGTTTGCACGAGCCACATATTGTCGGATGGCATTCAATGATGAGAAATACAGCGCAGAGCCAAATCCCGTGCGAAGGGCGGATGGAAGAGTGCCTCTCCATAAAGAGCGAAGCTGGTTAGGGGAGCCACGCAGCTCCAGCCATGAGCCATACAGCGACGATTGACCGGATTGCTGAACTCTCGTTTTCAAAAGATCAAGAGGCTGTAGTATAATGGCAGTAGACATGCCTGACCCTAAACCGTACACAAAATGACGGCCTTTGTTTGTTTTGTCAGGACAGGTTCTGTTACAAGCAAGAAAATGTCACGGGAGTCTTACTCGACTTGAACTGTTTTGCCGCACCTACGGCAGATGATGGTGACTGGCTCATTATTAATTGTTGTCGAAGGTCATTCTAATAAGAATAATTGATGCCAGAGGGTGATTGAACAAACTCAGTGTGATATGTAAATTTGGACATGCCCCTAGTCCAGGCCAGCTGGTTTCAGGCAATGAAGCAGTGCCAGTCTGGCGTAGACCCACTTTCCACGGCCTAGGCCGAAACACCTGGGGAGGGAGATGGTCCCTTGTAGTCCGCAATAACGGATTCCAGGCGGCCGGCTAGTAGTCGGTGACGTTTGACAAGATCAGGCCATTCAGCTACGCCGATAGAAGGAATCAACATGCCAAAATCGGCACCAAGTCTGCCTAAGCTGCCTGCACAGTATAGAACTTGCGTTAAAATGCTTTCCCGTGACGCCTGATCCTTGACCATAGGCAGGTATGTGCGCAGTGTTTCCAGCAGCATGCCAACAAGATGCATGGGGAAAGCCGACAGGACGGGCGGAATGGAGCTCAAACTATCCGTCGTCTTTGAGTCGGTCTCTGAAATCGTGCCGCCACCCGCGTTCTTTGCAATCGATATGATATTGAAACTGTGTTCTCGGAACACCTCAATGAACCTTTTCAAAAAACGCTCCGTTTGCTGGCCACCAGACCAAGACGGGCCTGCATTATGCTGACGCATGCGTTCTTCATCAGCGAGGCATCGCAGCGGATTCAGTGCTTCTAGAGTTGATATGAGATTCGAAAACCGACATATCAGGAATACGGCTGGCAAGGAATCCTCCGCCGCCATATCTGGGACCAGCTCGGGTACAATTCGCTTCAGCCAGCCGGTGGTGCGGAGTGCCGCGGCGAGTTTCAGATTAGGAGCCGTCAATGAGCTGATCAAGTCAATGGCGAGGTGACGAATCGCATCGTCAGCCCTTGACATGACGGATCTCACAAGATCTGATTCAGGATAGAGGGATGAGAGTCGTCGGAGGTGGCCGTACAAATCCAGGCTCGTAGAGTAGCCAAAAGGGCTGGTCTTAATAGCAGAGAGAAGAAGGGGGGGGAGCTCCAAAAGATCCAATATACGCCCCGAATTTTCAAGCAGATGAAGTGACTCCTTTCGCTGAGCCAGTATTTGGCTACCGCCAGATTTGCTGAGTGATATGGAAAAACGGTCGGCTTCAGCATCGAGTCGGGGCACGGCAGCGGTAAGCTCATGTGCCTTCAAGTTGAGGCCGCGTAGTGTTTCTCGTAGGGATGCATGCCCGATTGCTGAGTCAACCATGGATTTGTGTGATCGTTTCGACAGCGCCTGAACAGAGCGCAGCATTGACTGCGCGCTCTGCGCTAGAGCCTGAGGCTCTGAGGAGATCACCAACTCAAGAGGAAGACCCGCGATATACTCCAGGTATTCAGTGTCTTCAACTCCAGAAGGCGCATCTAAGCCGAGCAGGTCCCCAAGTGCTTCAGCCATGGCACAGGCCGCGAAACGTGATTGATTGTGGCGTTGAGTTGTGAGAGGTTGAAGACGTGTTGCTGTAATAGCTTAGGAGGCTTGACTAGTCAAGAGCTCGAGGTAGGCAATGAGCAACACGACCCCACCTGTAACTAGGAAGAAAAGCAAAGCCAGAACTCGCCAGCCCACTGCGAGGTCGAGCTCCATCCGTAAAATTTGTAGCTAGTTACCTTGTACTGATGCCGTCGTTTTAATAATAATATCTTCTTGACTAACTATTTCTGGAAATAATTCTACCAATCTGCGGCCATGGACTTTTTTTTAGTCTTTACGGAATGTATGCATGGATTCCTCAAGAAGAGGCAAGTGAGTAGCCGATGTTATGGGTGTCCCCACGATGAAGACTGCATCGATTAGCAAATGTTGAAGCACTCGCGTCTTTCAATACAATACCGGACCGATCTATTCTTTTCAGAGCTATTTACGATCCATCTGACCATGAAAGTACCGGAAATTTAGTTACCAAGTAGGTTCATGCGCCTCCTGATCACACGTCTTGTGCGTGCGGTGAATGAGGATTCACGCTCGCAACGTGGCAGGTGATGGGAGATTGCTGCCAGGCCCACGTGAGAACCCCAACAAACTTCTTGCACGCCCACCGCCTCGGCTCACCAATTTCGGCTGCCTACCTGCCTAACGTTGGAGCTTGCTTGTGCACCACCAACCACTAGTTATTGGCGGCCAACCCATCGTTGGTTTTATATTTACCTTGCCCTGCCCAACATCACCTTTGCATTGTCAACACTATCTTCGCAGCCGGGAGTCTCGAAGTAGGACTAGGATCTACAGACAGAATGAAGGACCCCTTTTTCATTCAGCCTGTTCCATGGCTCTCGGATCTGGCTCGTCCCCTGGCGCGTCGCCTCGACCTGGTGACCCTGCCGCTACACATCCACGAGGTTGTATTCGCCGCTGTGTTCTATTCTATCATTTTCTATCCCGTCTCGCCAATACTCTCCCGAATTATCGCTTCGAAGCACTACTCTCAACTTCCCCGACATAAACGACTCAACTGGGATGCTCATGTCGTTTCCATGGTCCAGAGCGTCTTCATCAATGCACTTGCATTGTGGATCAAGTGGATAGATGAGGAACGCAGCAGCATGGACAGAGAAGGCCGCATCTGGGGATATTCTGGAGCCCCAGCCCTTCTTCAGTCGATGGCTGTCGGCTATTTTGTCTGGGACTTCTTCGTCACAGCCATGAATCTGGATGTTTTCGGTATTGGCACTTTGGCTCACGCCATTTCTGCGTTGACGGTTTTCAGCCTGGGATTTGTAAGCTTTCTGCCCGATAGCCAGTTTCCTTGATGAGCTGCTAACTTTTAGTAGAAACCATTCGTCAACTATTATGGATGCAATTTCATTCTCTACGAGCTTTCCACGCCTTTCCTGAATATTCACTGGTTCTTGGACAAGGTCAATATGACAGGCTCCAATCTTCAACTCTACAACGGCTTTGCACTCCTGTTCACTTTTTTCTCTTGTCGGCTTGTCTATGGACCTTACCAAACCTACAGGGTCTTTAGCGACATCTATGCTCTCAGTGGCAAGAATCCATCCTCTCCAGGTACGGGGGTTTTTGCCTATGTGACGGCGCAAACATTTATTCCCAAGTGGCTCTCTTTCGCGTACCTGGCCAGCAATGCGACACTTACCTTTTTGAACTTCTACTGGTTCTACATGATGATCTATGCTGTTAGGAAGAGGTTTGTTCAGTCTTCCACTACAGAAGACGAGAAGAAGGTGCCCATCACCGAAGTCGAAATTGACCTAGATGCTGTCGCGTCAGGAGTGTCTTCGCAGGCCAAACCTCGCTCGCGTCGTGCTTAGGAAATTTTATCTCACCCTGGTATTGGGGTATCTGTGGACATCCTTGCGTTTCCCCTGCTAGGGTTTTGGTTGTGTTAGCGACGGGAGATAAGCATACCATTGCGAAGGTCTTCTCGTTTAGCACAACAGCTTGCACAAAAAAAAAACAATAACATAACAAATCGAGGGATAAATTAGTCGATCCACGATGAGTACATTAGTGGTGATTGCACTCCCAAGTACAAATAAGCCCCACATCCTCAATACAGAAGAGATAGATTACATTAAGAGTTGCTTTCTAGCGCTATTCTTCCTATCTTTATGCTGGCTGTCTCCGTTTCGCTTTGAAATTTAAAAACAGGGATGAAAGAGTTATGAAGATGAGCTTCTATGGGTCGATGTCGGGTAAGGAGTTTGGCTCAGAAGCCAAATGGGTTTTGGGGAGCTGGGTGGTTGTCTAATTAGCATCTCGAACAACGAGTGAGCCTAGCACAATATGACCAACTTACTTGCTTGAGACAAGTTTGCTCGGCGCCCAGTCGGTTGGGCGGTTAATTTCTTAGTCTCGGTAACGCCGAAACGTACTGGTGGTGGTGGCCCCGTCTTCTGCGGCTGGAGAGCATGAGGAACTTGGGGGTTGAAAGAGTTGAAAGTAGAAGTCGGTAGCTGTTGTATGGGGGCTATTCCCGTTCTTTGTGGTTCAAGGGCCGGCGGTAGGTAGCTGTTCACATTGGCCTGAGTGGCCTGACCGAACGATGACTGTGGCTGGAACTGGGGGGGATAGGCAGTGTGCTGCGCTTGAAGTGGTGAGAACTGGCTAGGCACGCCCGGATCTTGAAACGGACTTTGCGTTGGAATTCCTGTGTACATTGCTTGCATGTATTGTGCACCTGTCTGAAACGGCGCCATAGGAGGCTGGGTTTGCAGGCCACCATAGCCAGTCATGGTAGGCTGCAGCGCCTGCATCTGCTGCATTTGGGCTGCGTACTGTTGTTGCTGAAGGCGAGCCTGTGTGATATCATTGAGACTCTGCCCTGATGGAGCGACTTGTCCCTGGACAAGACCGGTCATTTGCGCTGATAAAGCTGGTGTTGCGAACGCACTCTGTTGCTGGGGAGCAGATACGGGACGCTGTGTCGGAGGGGGCGGGAGAGAACCTTGTCCAGTCGGTATCGTTGGTATTGGTCGTTGCCGCGCAAGTGACTTAGGTGAGACAGGACCTCCCGTTTGCGAACCTGATGCGGAGGAGAAAAACGAGGGGCTTGCTCCCGGTAGCGGCTGAGTTTGTGATACAGTTGAGGCAGAGACTGCCGAAGTTGTAGACTCTAGCCGGTTCACAGGCTCAGCTTTCGTCGGCTCCAAAGGTGCGCTGAGCATGGACAGGTCTTTCAGAGAACCTGTGAGTGCTGGCACGACGGGCGTCGGAGAAAGTGCAGGCTCAGCAGCCTTGGGCTCTCCCGAGGTCTGTGATTGTTTGCTGGGTTTCACCTCCCAGGCGTCATCCTCGAAGCCACCCGAAGATGCCCGCTTTTCTGATATGACAGGACTGCTATCGGATTTGACCGCAGTACCATCTTCCGGATTCTTGGAAAGAGCCGCTGCATCGACAACATCATTCGTCTGAACAGCGGGTGCAGGACGGCCCTTCCGAGTATTGTTGCGGAGAGCGCCTCCTGGCCCTGAAAATAATCCTCCTGCGTTTCCGTCACCCTCCACATTCCGTTCCCGTCCGAATTTTGTATCCAAGGTGCGCATGACCTTGATAATGTCGCCTTCTCGAATACCAAGTGTTCTCAAAATAACGGCGTTGACGTCGGGAAGCACGCTTTCATCCATGGAGTCTCGAATAAATGCTTGTGCATAACGTTCGCACAGTCCCACTGGGACATCGCAAGAGAGGAAGAATTGGAACCAGTCATATTCGGGTTTCTTCTTCCTTTCAATTTTGGCGCCAGAAGGCTCGCTTGGCCGGTTCATTGATTTGGAGCGTCGCACATCGGCAAGAGGTTTGTCATCTTCTAGCGAAATTCCAGTCAGGTTCTCGACGTACTCCAGGTCTTCTCGCGACATTTTTGCTATGGGAACAGCAATCTTAACACCGTTCATTTTATGCAAATGGATCTTCCCGTCTCGTAGGCCAAGAAACTGAGCCTCCACACTAAAAGACTTGGAACGATCCGTCCAAGTGCGGACTTTGCTTGTATCCGGTTCTGCGCAAATACTGCTGTTAGTAAAATTGTTGCCCTTGTTTCAACGCTGAAAACGTACTTGATTTGCTTTTGGAACCGGAATTGCCATTTTCGCCACGCCCATTCTCGCGACGATTACGCTGTTTCAACGGTTAGTCTTGCAAATCTTGCATTGTTGTCAAAGAGGACTCGTCCAGAGCCTCATACCTGCTGTGGCTCCTTGCTAGCCCTCAGAGCCTCTTTAGTGAGTCTCATCTCTTCCAAACGGTTTTGTTCAACCGGCGACATGCCGCTGCGAGTACCAGCTTCATTGGGCGGAGGTGTGACGGCGCCGATGATTTCAATGTAGCTGCTGGGAACAACTCCTTCCTTGCCATTTTTCAGCCGACGTAACTGCCACCACTCATCACTCTTGGAGTCGTCTAGAATGATGACTTCATCGCCAGCTGCAACAGTAACTTCATCCTGGCCCTGGGCCATGAAATCATACAGGACTTTTCCTTTTCGCTGATAGCGTTGTGTTCCAGCCATGATGACTTCTTTTAGACCTTCAGCTCGCACAGCACCCGCCATTTCCCCTAGTGCCAAGACGATTTCTTCTGCGGTATCCTTGGCACCAGCATGGAAGTCGATGCTCTTGCTGGGGCGAACTAATTCCATGAATACGTGCTTTCCTTCGCGAGAGTAGTGCGTCATTTTGTCGGCGCTCCATTCCTGGGGAGGGGCATCCTGTGCTCTCTCCGGGGCAATGAGAAGTATGCCGGTCCCTAAGTTAATTCCCAAAGTAGTCGGCATCTTCTTCCTCTTGCCCATGACGGACACCATCTCGCTGATATTGTACATGTGGAACCCGCCAGGGGTTCTCTGAGGTTGTGGTACATCGGACCGTTCGTTGAGATCGGGCATGCCGTAATCATCCGAGTTGCTTCGTGTGTGTGTGGACTGTATCGGCCTTGGACGGGAAGGCAAGGCTGGTGACTTGACAAATTCCTCATCCGATGGTGATGAAAGTTCGCGCGTGGGATGAGCAGGCGGGGCTGCAGGCTTCGCCGCCGTAGAACGCCCCTGCAAAACGCCGGCCAGTGTAGACGCCGGACCTGCGGGTTGGGGAGCCGGTGGCGCGGTGTCTTCTACGGCATTTAGGTCCCTTGCGGCGGAGCGAGGACGTGTCGGTAATGCCGGAGGTGGCACTTGAGAGGCTGCATGATCTGAAACGTCTCCAGATTCCATGTTTATATAATTCGCTGGGACGAATCCGAACTCATTGTCAAGTCCGACAAGTATCCAGTCCGGGTCAGACGTATCGAACACATCGAGAACAGCATCTTCGTGAAAAGATAGCTCTTCGTCGGTTTGACGAGTATACTCATAGATGGCGCGGGCTTGGGACAGCGAAGGGGCCTGTAGACGAAGAATATTAGCACAAGATACCCTTATAGGCTGAAACCTGGCTAGGCCCTGCATACAGTCTCAACATAGTTGTGAGGAACAAGTCCTGTAGGTTCATCTTCATCGTCTGCGCCGGCTTTCTTTTTTGCCTTCCACCAGCCGTCGTCGTCGTTTTTTTCGATAATGTAGAGCAAATCTCCTTCGCTAATGGTAAGCTCGCCTTCGGATTGCGGCTGGTAGTCGTAGAGGGCCCGATACACCCCGAGGAATCCCATCGCGATGTTGAGTGCCCCGATAAGTACGCAGTAATAGGCTGGAGAGTTCCCTTAGGGCTATGGAAGAGCAAGCAGGCCGGTCCCGAGGTGCTAAAGGGTTGACTATGATGGCGGATGACGTCGTCAGCGGGACATAGGCAGTGCAGGTTCTGGGCGAACGAGGGCAATTCAGTCGTCAGATTCGCGGCCACACCGGATTAGAGGACCTCGTTGGCCGCGGCCTGTTCCAGGCTATCGTTGGTATTAATGTTGGTGAGGTAAGCAGGATGCACGAAGGTTTGTGCCTGAACAGAGGTTTGCATGTCATAGACCACCCCCCTATGTTCCCGCTGCTCCATTTTTAACGTGACGCGTCCAACTACCTACCTACTGTATGTAGGTACATACATACATACCTACAGTACCTACATAGGTACTGTAGGTAGCAGGCTGGCATGTCAGGTCGGTACTAACTAATTTACCAGTACGAATTAAACACTGACCTACAAGGTAGTTACTACCTAGGTATAGGTATTGGAGATCCGAAATGTTACATCCATAAATTGATGTGCCATTCTAGTTATGGAGAAATATCAAAACGATGAAGTTCATTTGAAATCAAATAGTATCGACCAATAATTTATGTAGCCCCTGTAAGCCGCCTCTGTTTTAGAAAGAACTTCCGCATAAAACGTATCTAAGAATACACAAAATACGGCGTCCGGCAACAAATTGTGACAAAGAACTGCACTAGTAGTCGCAACAGGTATTAACATATTCGCCCAGCTGAGGGGTTCTGAATATTCATGGAAATCAGATGATATCATTGAGACCAGGGCCAAAGATCTCCTCATCCAGTGTAGCTTTGAGGCCTTATGACCTGCTTGCCTCTGTTGGAGGAGCCTCTTGTATCGCACTTAAACAACGACTTTGACACTCTGTTCATTGGCAGCCACGGCTCCTTACTGTTGTTGGTTGAGGCTTTTCAGGCTACCGCTGCGACGCTCTCTGGCGAGGATTCCAGGGAAGAGGCGAGGGTCGCTTCCAGAAAGATGCAAGTCTACAGCACTGTCGGAATGGCGGCTATTCGAATTAGGTGACGTCCCGAACTCCGGATTTGAGTTGCCATTTACACCGGTTTTGCTCGCTGGTGATGAAACGTGCGAATTGCTGAGTGCTAGGCCCTGGCCATTAATCGCTCTGGATGTGCCACTTTCGCCTACAGCGTCATATACGGAGAATCGCTGAAGCCTAGCACATTGTTAGAACGTCTCTGCCAATGGTTCTGTGTTGCACTTACACGTCTCTCTCTTGCATCAGCGTGAGATAGCGAAACTCTTCTCGTCGATCTGGTACGTTGGTTTTCACCATCTTGTTTCCTTCTTTACCGGGCTTCTCAAAGTCATGACCGAGCCACTGCTGCTTAATTGCTCGCTCGTAACCACTTTGCTTAACGGAATTTTTGGCCAATTCACACATGTCCACGGAGCTCAGCTTGCAAATTTGCGCCGCAACAGCATATTCCTCAATGAGAGGCTCTTTGGTGAAAGCAAACTGAAGTGGATCATCCGTCGAGAGTGACACGTTAAGACCGCGCTTGAAGTACTGATGGAAAGGGTTTCTCTCGTATGCCAGGAACAGAGCGTTGTTGCTCAGCGGCGACATGGCCATGCCGATTTGCTCCAGATAAAATACATACTGAAGTAAAGGCACTTTTCGCAGCAACAGGCCGTGACTGATACTGTGACAACACAGGGCTGCGACAGCTAAATGTTCACTGTCGCCAGCCTCGCCGCAGTGTGGCCGAAGAGTGAATGTGTTGAAGCCACGCTTCTTTCTCCAGAAGTTCAAAGAAGCCATGTTCGCGAAAGTATAATAAATCCAATAGCTGTAGGGTGGGTTTTGCGCGCCATCCCATTCCTTTGGTACCGGAAACTTGCGGAACAGCCGGCGTTCGACTTTGCTTTCGTCGTCAACGCTGTCGAATCCGATAACACGCTGAAGGAAGATGTGGAGCTTTGGATGGCTCGTCGGTGCATTTGTAACTTCGAACAATGGCTGGAATAGATTCTTTATGACTTGCTCAAATGAATCCATGAGACCACTGCCTTTGTAGACATCGTAGAGCCGAGGAATTTGAATGAGCCAGCGAACATTGTGAGAAAAGAGCTTATTATCCACCACCCATGCAGCCAATTTGTCCCATTCATCAATGGATTTGCCGTAAATCGAAATGCGCCATTCAACCATTTGATACTTGCTAGATTCAAGATCTTCGATGACTTCTTTAGTGATTTCTGCGAGATACCGCCCGTGAATGAAGTTGTCGGTCTTGAGGAAAATGGTTCTGAGACGAGACTCTCCGATAGGATTGTATTTGAGATTGAACTTGTCAAATCGATGGAAAGAATCTGTGTGGGCCTAAGAGGGTAAATGTAAGCGGATTTAACCAAGTTGGAGGATATGTTGACTTACGTGCATGTCGAGAGTATCAATACTCAGGTCATAAGCAGTGAGATTGATGCTAGCAAAGACTTCGGCAAGGGTGAGGTGCTTTCCATCCCTATACAGAACCACCTCGTTGGGGTATTTCTTCATCTTGCTCTTGATGAATCGTAGCAAATGCTTCTGGTTCATACAAGCAGAATGGTGAACGTGAGTATCAACTTTTCGGACATTGTAGAAGTCACGGTGGGGAACCTTTTTGCTGTCTGCCGTTTCCTGGTATTCATTCAGGAGGGCGTAAAGATTGAATTTGCCTTCCAGGTACTGCAACCTTCGGAATGCGAAGCTTTTGCTCGGGCCATCCGATGAGACCTTCAATATGGATTCTAGGTCCATATAGAACTCCCTTATGGTAGGAATTTTGATCGCCGGTTCTGCAGAAGTTTCATTATCCAATACCTGATAGACACCGTTCGAATCAAGCTTGAAAGTGCAGCCGTCATCTTCCGGGAGGGGCATCAAGTCATCCACATCAAACTCCTGGCTCGAGTCATTTGCAGAGGTTGCTCTATGCCGTGCAAAGCGAGAATTAGCATGAGCCGCCTCTCTCCAGGCTGGCTCTGGCGGTGGCGGGTAAATATCCCATTCTTCGCTATCTCTGGGGTTGTCGTTAGGGCCTTGCGAAGACAGCGCAATGTAACGGCGGCGCAGATCAACAATTTTCTGAATGTCTCTTGTGATAGCGGCCAATTCAGCTGTAACGTGCGGCTCCGTGTCGAGAAAGCTATTGCTAGCAAGGCCAGAGTTGGAGACGCCAGGAAGAAGCTGATCCTGAACAGCCTGTGCGCCAGGCATAGAAATCTGGCTCGGATGAACACGGTTGAAGGGCGTTTCTTCGCAGAAAGACGCATTTTCTATCATCAAGAAAATAATCAGCTTCTGAATACTGTCTCTGAAAGTTACAACATACCACCGTCTTTCTCCAGGATGAGGGAGTCTGCGCCATACTCAGTCGCAGGACGAGAAGCAGATTGGATAAGAGGACTCTGCTGAGGCGTTCTCTGCACCCATTCGCTGCTATCGCCTCTTAAATCAATCTGGCTACGCTGATAGAATAGCTTCGCATCGGTCTGAGTCATTTGGCGTTCGGCAACCGGATCATAAAATGTAGTGCGTTTTGGAACATCACGGAGGAGCATCCCGTCTTGCAGCTCCTCTGCTTGAGCGGGGTCCGTTGCCTCAGAGCCTTCGCCAGCCAGCTCAGAGTCCGCGATGCTTTGGCCCGCTGTCTCATCATCCTCCCAGTCAGATTCACGTGTATGGACCTGAAAAGGCAATTCATTGCTGTTAAATTGGGCGTGTGTATCTATGATGACGTGCATTCGTAAGCGAACTGAAATCGGTACCACGATCCTAGGCACCTACCAGCCATCTTGGAGAGTCGTACTCGCTGCGACTTAAGAGCTCCCAGGTCTATCGTGCAAAACGAGGATCTTCTTCTTGCTCAAGCTAAATTGGAAATAGAGGTATAAAGGTGCGCTCCGTTGAGAGCTCTTGGTTTGCAACTTTGCTTATCCAGCCTTTTTTGGGGGGTGGGGGTTGTTTTAATTGCTTGGTCTTGATCCTGTGTTGGGTTTTTGTTTTTACTTCTTTTCTTCCCTTTTTTTTTGGCTTTTATGAAACAATTAGAATAGTATGCGAATAGAAAATGAAAGATGACGGTTGCAGCTAATAAATGAAAAATGAAAAATATCGGTTCACAAGAGTCGAGAGAGAAATGCGGTTCAGAAATAATTGTTCTTGTCGGAGTGAACTTGTTATCCTGGGGGATAATAAAACGAGCTGGATCATGGAGTCAGCGGTGGGGTTGGTGGATAACAGCGTCGCGGAGGTTGCCTATATCCGATACTATGTATTACTGAAGCGGCAGCTAGAATTTGTTGTGACTGTTGAAAGAAAACAGCATATGTATTCCGGAGACACATATCTTCTTTTCTACAGAGGGTCTAATATCTAAATGTCCTTCTTTGATTCCGATTTCTTTTTTGGTAGCTTTGGGGCATGGCTTTTGGAGTCCAATGTGTACAACGCACCGCCTCCAAAAACCAATAACGCACCGATGACAGTTCCAACAACCAATGAATTACCAAATAACCAAATGCTGAGAAGGAGGCTCACAAGTTTCCGGATATTGAGGACGATAGTAACAGTCAAGGCAGAAGATGCCGCCGCTAGAAGATTTACACCTCGAATACAGGCGTACTGCGTCAGGATGTTCGCTGCGACGTTGGCTAGCTGATGAGGCACTCGAATACCGAAGCGGTGAGATAGTACCATGGGCTGTGAATCGGCCAGCGAGAGAAACGTTCGCAGCATGGATGGTGTAAACGGCACGAACAGTGGTAAAGAAAGAAGATGGGAGTAGAACAAATTCTCTCGCCATTGTGGCCCGTACGCTCTATAAGTCGCCTCAGTGTACAAGCCCATGATGGCAGAGAGAACCTGGGCAATCAAAAGAATAAGAAGACCGGTACCAAAGGCGGGCTTTGATGAAGTACCGGTTTTTGACTACAAAATAGCGTGAGTAAACCCCCGAGAGCTTTTGAGCACTGTCATACCTTGTTTGCTGCATCAGACCAGGCCGCCTGGATAACCCCAAAACTGAGTAGGACTACAGACATGACCTGCAGTCTTGAATATCGCTTGCCGTAGAGGTATCCCGCTACCATAGTCGTTATGCTGCCCCCAGAGCGCAGAATAATATGGATTGGCACAGATATGTCGTAGCTGAAGGCGTGGTTGTTCAGAACATTGATGGCAAAGAACAAAACAATATTAACAGCCCATCGAGTAAGAGGAACCTTCCTCGGCGATAGGAAAAAAGGCGGCCGTCTATAATCGAACTGAAATGCATAGCCGGTCACAGCAACAAATGCGAACTGAATGAATGTGATGAGGGTACCTACGAAAAAAATTAGCAGTCCATCGACAACAGTACCGGAGAGAACCAACCACTGCCCGATTCAAAGCTGAGTAACCCTTGATTAGCTGCACGCCTGTCTAAACATTCAATGATCCTTACTTAATGATTGATTCCAGCGCATAAACCTGGCATTGGCTTGTTAGATGCGATACAGAGATTCTCGGTGAGGAGCCCTCGCACTTACGTTCGAGCAGCAGCCGCCAAACACAAGTCCAAGCATTGCAACTGCGGCAAAAGCGGAGGTCCCAACATCGATAGCAACCGAGGCGCTTCTTTTGTCATTTTTCTTTGGCGGCTTCAATTTGAGACAATTAGCCTCGGGACTGTGTTGAGATTCTCCCATTTTTGCTGAAGTGAGGACGAAGTCCCTCGAGCCTAGAGCCTGGATTGATGAAACGTGGTCAAGCAGCTTCTCTCGTACGCTCCTACCGCTACAGGTACCTACCTACTTGCGCATACTGTAGAGCGTCAGTAGGGCATCAGCCACAGAGGTGGAGCCCACATTTGAACGTTGGAAACCGTAACTATGTACCTGTCGTCCAGAGGTACCTCTAAATATGGACAAACTCTTTCTTTTACTTCTTGAATTTCACGCTCGTGCTTCGTTAGTATTATTGTGTGTGTTATTTGATTTTCTCGAGGCTCCCCGAGCTGATTTTTGTGTCTTTTTTGTTCTTTGGTTCTTTGGTTCTTTCCTAACGTCTATCCCTGATCTGACTGCACAACTTTGTTCCGTCCGCTCAACGGCTTTTCCATAGGGAATACGGCATACTCGTACCATTGAATATCCTAGGTGCCTAGCCACACAGAGCTTGGTATTCTGACCCAATCTCTTCAAGCACCCCTCCAATAGGTAGGTAGGCAATAGGTCCGCCGTCCGGAACACTGGCGATCAAGCTCCCGTTGGCATCGCTATTCAAATCATGGATCGAGCGTAATTCGTTGGTGCCGAACTCTTCAGATGGCGTCATATGGAACGAGGACAATTTGCTACCTAGCAAGGGCAGGCAAAAATGGGGTGCATTTGCAGCAGTTGATAGTTCAACGTCCTTCCCAATGCTTTCTGCATGCCCTGTAGTAACTAAAGGGCGGAGAAAACAAAGAGCTATTATGAGAGTCAAGGTCAGTTGCTGATTGGAATCATGTACGTTGCTTCTGGTCAACATACGTTATTAGTTGCTGCAATGGCAATGCTGTCCTCAAACGGGTGCCAACTCATGTGCAGAATCTTCTTGTTAAAGTCGATTTGGTCTGCATCAGTCTCCTTGCGCATACGCTGAGCGCCTGGGCTCCCAGCCCGTGAACCGTTCTTCTTGCCGTTTGAAGTTGGGCTTGTGGAGGAGTTGATCGGAGTGGGCACGCCGACCTTCTTTGCCTTAAACGCGGACTTGTCTGCTTGGAGGACGACTTCCACTTCTTTGTCGGGGTCAGACGGGTAAATCATAAAGTTGTTGTTGTAGCTACCCGTCATCACGTTCTTGGCATCTCCCGAAAACACGACTTCAAATTTGTCGAATATACTGTCGTTTTCGTATGTGTCACACAGGCGAGGTCGAAGATGCTCATGGATAGGTATCGTCTTCACTGGCTGGCGCTCCATGTTGATGTCCCAAATCTTGACGGTGAGGTAGTCACGCGACAAAATGTATCGGCCGTCGTAAGAGAAGCGCACATCGGAAATGGATGAAATAATCTCGGAGAAGAAGGATCTCGACGACGGATCCTCTTCCTGCTCAAACACTGCTCGGAAGGTTAATGGGCTGAAACCTGGTCTTGGAAAGTCCGCTTACTTTTGGCATGTTGGTCGCACAGTGCACTCTCTCTCATATCAGCCAGCTTGATCGTTCCCTTGGAGCTCGCGTACATGAACCAGTTGCAACTAAGCGGATGGAATTCGGCAGCAGTAATAACCTCAGTGAGCTCTTCCATGTTTGCCGGCTTGATATCCACAATGTTGAAGCTTTGATCTTGGATGTTCAGGTTCCAGAGGTTGATCCGCAGGTCGTCACTGCTGATGTAGGTCTCGCCGTCGCTATTCACAGAGATGCTGTTGATGTGGTACGCGTGCGCATTTGCATATGTACGACGAGGCACCGCTGCCACAACAGTGTCATGGTGTGTGAGGCGGGGAAGCTTCAAGTCTGTGACATCTCGAAATTGCTGCGAGGTGGCTAACGGTCGAGCGGCACCGCCGCCTCCAGCAGCATTTGCGGGGGTTAAATCATGCGACAGGTTGTTCTCCGCAACAACTTTGAGTGATTTCTCGAACACCTTCCACAGCTTGATTGTTTTGTCATTTGTCGATAGGAGGTAGTGGGAGGCGTTTTGGCGTCGGCACCATTTGATCTTGTTGATCTTTTCTTCGATTTCGAGTGACTTGAGATAGTCGAATTCGGGTTCGTGGGACTGGAACTCTGTATGAAATTTGTATTCGCAGGATTTCTTCTGTGCGTTGAAACGTTAGCAGGGTCTCCTAGCCAAGCGATAGCATTGAGACAGAAAGACGAACAGTCTCGTTGCGCTCGAATAAGACGACGCGACCACCCTTATCACCCGTAGCTAGATAGTTTCCTGTATGGTCAAACTCTACAGTAGAGATGATGTCGGCTAGAGTCGACGGGAATGGGTTAGCAAGCTCTCTCCAGAAACCGAGCCCATCGGCGGGGAAGAAATCAACGCACCCTCCGTGATGTCCTCCACGTCGCCTTTATCACCGAAACACCTATATTTTTATCAGCTGAGTACTGTATAGGCCGTATACGGTATGTGCGTACTGCGTGAACTTCCATGTTGGCGAATTCGCCTCACTGTCAACCATCTTGGCTGACCGCGGCTTTCGGGAATTAAGCGACGCGGGCGGTGACTACCAAGGGTGAAATGGATGATGAAAAGGTCTGCGATGAGAGCGCTCTGGAATCTTTTTTTTTTTTTTTTGGAAATTGGGTACTTTCGGGTAGGAAATGCCGGGGAGCCGATAGCTTGCGCAGCTTGAGATGCTGATACAAGCCTTGACAGTGGTGATGGGTTGGACGGGGAGCGATGTGGATGATGTCGTCTGGTTAGGTGGGTCCAAAGGGCAGCTCCCTCAACGGCAAGAAGGCGGCTAACTTGGGTTGCGCGAAGCGATGGAAGGCATCTGCAAAATAAAAAATCTCCGAGAAATTGGATTTGCTCAGGTATTAACTATTTGCTTTGTGGTGCGATACATGACATAATTTTCTCAGACAGAAGGAACGGCGGTGCCCGATGGCCTGCATGGAGGTGCTGTAGCTACTACCTACCTAAAGTGTTGCATTTGGTTCAGCACCTAACATGCTGGGACGGAGACGGTCAGAATACCCAACATAAAAATGTCTTAGCAAATAAGATAACGATTAGAGATACTAGTAAGTCTAGGTTACAAATACCAGCATGTAGGTACCTTGGTATCTACCTACGTATTAAACTACCCAATGCATATACTAAAGTCGCATCAGCTTGTTGACTATTCTGCACGGCTTCTTTACCGCACTTTTTTTCTACCTTGTGAACGAAGACAAATTTCAAATCCCCCATGCCTAACGCTTAATTTACACATATAAAAAGTAAAAGGTAAATAAGATAGAATACAAAGGGGTACAGTACGCGTATGACGGTAACCTATCCGCGACTGTAGCTTCTAGGTAACTCTCTATCAACTATGTACCTATGTATGTACGTAGGTATGTAAGCAGGTACTTGGGTAGGTAGTTAATGCCTGAGTAAATTCCCAACGTAACACAGTAACGTCGACCACCCACTTATAGGCCACACCCACATAGCCACCTAATTACTAAAATAATATATTATAGAAAAGCTTTATAATAAATATAAATAAAATTAAGATTATAAATAAAATATTTTCCTAGATAGTCTAAAAGCTAGAGATTTCATCTATTAATAGATTAATAATTAATTAT